ATATATACATTAAAACGCTACCAAAAATATAAGTCTATAACCTTCTAGGCGAAGGAAATGTGAATAACAGAGACTTCACATCCACTGATAGTGCAAACACTGTTTCTTTATTCAATAGTTTTTAGAAGCAGGTGCAGATATTTGCAGCCATTTTACATTTTTCATTTTGGTTTTTAATCATTGGGTTATTGGATCAGCCAAAGTTTTTTTTTTCAAACGCTAACAGCCAGATTTTCACTAATACTGTTACATCACCAGGAATGGCATTTACACAGTTAACAAACAATTTAAGATAACATGTCTCATTGTGGGGGCTCTAAGATCCCCTTCAGGCCACAGCAAGTAATTTTATGGATGACATCAGCGCGCGCATTAATTTTCGCCTGATTTTGGAGAAAAAACAAGAAATTTTGTTGCCTTCTGACAGTGGTCAACATGCCTGAAATTGGCAAAAATGTCTGTTGTCATGCCATCAACGTAGATGGCAGATAAATATGAAGAGAGGAGACAAGAAAAGGCTCTGGTTTAATGTTTTGTTTCTTACTTTGATGCAGTGATATGTGATGTTGGCTGTGTATATGTGATGTTCCCACTGAATCAAAACCATTTGTACAATAATTGAGTAAGAATTTTAAATTGTAGGAACCTTGTTTTTTTCGGCCCGCCTTGTTTTGTTTTCGCCCGCTCGCATTAGATTTGGAATCTGCGGAGGATGTCATCCATAAAATTTACTTGCTGAGGCCTCACATAAATATGATTTATATCATACGATTACATTTCTACTTCATCACAGAGCTAGAGGAATCGCTTCCCAGCTAATCTTCCAGTGGTCCTCATTGCAGAAAACTACACACTACAACACCTTTCACAATTCAAAAATGCCAATCCTCTTAAGGCCATGTTGATTTGATTATATGGATGACATCCTCCAGGAACCCCAAAACTGATGCGCGCGTGCGAATAAAAAAAAAGTTTTGCAAAAAAAAGTTGTTTTCATTATGAAATCTACGTGGTCATGAGGGTTGAACAAATGGGACAGAATATGGTTTGGCGAATAATCTAGTCTTCAAGTTCATTTCTTTACAATTTCGTCTTTTTTCGTTTGATTTTGGCATTCTTCGACATTGGTATGTTTTTTTTATGTAACTTACGGTATATTTTTGCTCATTTTGCAACTGTTTTGTACGATTTACAGTATGGTTGAAAACTTTTTTTTTTGAAACGGCCGAAAATTCATGCGCGCGCGGATGTCATCCATATAATCAAATCAACATGGCCTAAATGAAAATAAAAGAACATAGGAGAAGTTCAAGCAAACCTACATTTGTATACAGGAGTAAGAATTGCACAAGTACAATTTTTTCTTGCTAGTTTCCTGCATTTCGGAAATGCCATCATACATCATAATGCCACATCTTCCTGTGGTCATCATTGCACAAAACTACTTAACATTCCACAAAACTAGATAACACACAATCCTTTCACCTTTCTAAAAATCTCAATCTCCTTAAAAAACATGGGAAAAGGTCAAGCACACCTTCTATACAAGAGTAAGATTGCACAAGTACAATTTTTCTTGCTTGTTTCCTGCATTTCGAAATGTCATCATACATCACAATGCCGTAGTCTTCCTGTGGTCATCATTGCACAAAAGTACACAGCATGGCACACAACTACATAACACACAATTCTTTCACCTTTCTAAAAATGTCAATCTCCTTAGAAATAAAAAAAAACAATGGAAAAAGGTCAAGCAAACCTTCTATACAGGAGTAAGATTGTACAAATTTTTTTTTTTTTGCTTGTTTCATGCTTTTGGAAATGCCATCATACATCATAATACCACATCTTCCTGTGGTCATCATTGCACAAAAGTACACAGCATGGCACAAAACTACATAACACACAATATTCACCATTCTAAACAGGACAATCTCATTAGCTGAAGGCTTAGATATTTTAAAAAAAGCATGGCAAACGGTCAAGCAAACCTTCTATACAGGAGTAAGATTGTACAAGTACAATTTTTCTTGCTTGTTTCCTGCGTTTCGAAATGTCATCATACATCACAATGCCGTAGTCTTCCTGTGGTCATCATTGCACAAAAGTACACAGCATGGCACACAACTACATAACACATAATTCTTTCCCCTTTCTAAAAATGTTAATCTCCTTAGAAATAAACACAAAAAAAAAACATGGAAAAAGGTCAAGCAAACCTTCTATACAGGAGTAAGATTGTACAAGTACATTTTTTCTTGTTTGTTTCCTGCATTTCGAAAAATGCCATCATAAATCATAATGCCACATCTTCCTGTGGTCCTCATTGCACAAAACTACATAACATTGCACGCAACTACATAACACACAATTCTTTCACCATTCTAAAAATGTCAATCTCCTTAAAAAAAAACATAGGAAAAGTTCAAGCAAACCTACATTTGAATACAGGAGTAAGATTGCACAAGTACAATTTTTTTTGCTTGTTTCCTGCATTTCGAAAAATGCCATCATAAATCATAATGCCACATCTTCCTGTGGTCCTCATTGCACAAAACTACATATCATTGCACGCAACTACATAACACACAATTCTTTCACCATTCTAAAAATGTCAATCTCCTTAAAAAACATGGGAAAAGGTCAAGCACACCTTCTATACAAGAGTAAGATTGTACAAGTACAATTTTTCTTGCTTGTTTCCTGCATTTCGAAATGTCATCATACATCACAATGCCGTAGTCTTCCTGTGGTCATCATTGCACAAAGGTACACAGCATGGCACACAACTACATAACACACAATTCTTTCACCATTCTAAAAATGTTAATCTCCTTAGAAATAAACAAAAAGACATGGAAAAGGGTCAAGCAAACCTTCTATACAGGAGTAAGATTGTACAAATATTTTTTTTTGCTTGTTTCATGCTTTTGGAAATGCCATCATACATCATAATGACACATCTTCCTGTGGTCCTCATTGCACAAAACTACTTAACATTCCACAAAACTAGATAACACACAATCCTTTCACCATTCTAAAAATGTCAATCTCCTTAA